TTAGACTTGATGGCCTGTCTGAGCAGCCATGTGGCTAAAAGCAATGCTGAGCACAGCAGGACAGCGACACCTGCTAATGGGTTCGAGCGCAATGCACAGAGAAAAAGAAAAAGACAGAGAGAGAGAGCGAGTGAGAGCCAACTGGATGCTGAGCATTTTAATAGCGCCAAGGTGACGCTTAACCATTCAAAGCTTAATTTATGCAATAAAAATTTCAACAGACAGCCTAGGATAACCCCAAGCGCACACACACACACACAGAGCTACACCCTAATTGAATACAGCAGCTAAAAGACTAGAGTATTTAATTGCTTATGACTAGCTCTCTGTGTGTTTTCTGTATCTTCTTCTTCTTCTTATCCCTATAAATGATACCTGAGTCGCAGCCAAACTCATCAGAAAAAAAATGTTACAAATCGAATAGGGCGGTGGGTAGGCGTGTCAGCAAATGCCGTTTAGTGTTGAGTGGAGGCCGTCTGACATCCGGGGCGTGGCCTGGCTCATCAATCAAACGCCTACGTCCACTATTCAAATTATGAATGCCATCATATTTGATGATTGATTTCAGCACAACAGCAAAAATAAAAAAAAATAAAAAAAACAAAAAAATGTTGCGCTTTCATTGTATAGCAACCGAGGGAGAGACTCAAGCTTGTATGCTGGTGTGTATTTGTGTGTGCAAGTTATTTGTGCAGCATTATGTGCCTATATATACAGACATGTGAGTGAGTGTGCAGATGTTAAAGGCTTGCATGATATTCTGTTTTTCTTTCTTGTGTAAGCCTTTAGCTAATGATGGAAAGAAAGAAAAAATGAAGAAAAAAAAAACATATGACATTTTAAGGAAACCGAAGATGAGACGTAGGCGCGTATAGATTGATAGGGCTAACAGCCGAATGACAGAATAAGAAATAAGAATTGTGTATATAAATATATCTATGCATATGCTTATATATATATAGCATAATATATATTTGAGGAACTAATGTAGGAGAGGGTAAAAACGGGTAGAAGAAAGTTAGCTGGCAGCATGTGTATTATTCGAAGAGTAGCGGATTTCTCATACTCTGCCAAAAAAAATCGATGGTTCGGCAATCGATGGGTTCGGCTCTTCATCGAGCTCGTTCCCGATCGGACAGACAGCTTTTTACTTTGTTTTTTTTTCGTTCTGGTTTTTCTTCGATCATCTGTTTGAATTAAGTAAAAAGTGTTTCGTGTATGTATTGGTATGTATACGAAGGCGATATTCGCTAAACACTTTAATATCTTACGTGAATTGAGAACGAATCACATCTCTCTATAAACGATATTCGTTGGATGAGCATCACACGGATAGTTCAATTCAAGACGCTACACAGAAAACAAAAACGAACAAAGCCGAAGGCACTTTCTGAGATCGGGAGCGATAGATCGAAATGTTTACGGTAAATGCTCAACTATTATTTGAAAGCTTTGGTCATACAATGCCAATTGAGCCGAGCTGCACATTTTATTTGCTCTGATATTTCACAAGTAATAAATAATAAATAAAATTATTCTTAAAATAAAATTAAAAGTAAGATAAAAACTTAAAAGATTACATATTTAAATATATTTATATACAAATTGTAATTTATATTTATATTTAAATTTCTTTATATTTTAATACAAGTTCCATCAGCTTGTATATATATCATCCATCAGCTTGTAAAATATTTCTCTTATTATTGATTATGCAATATATTTTTTCAAGGCGACAATCAATAATTTTCTCTAACCTCATAAATGCTTCCTCTTCTTCCTCTCTTTCAATAATTAAATTATACACATGCCTCAGTGACGTTTATTTTCCAATGTTTCTTTCTGCTGTCAAACCCTTTCCACCCACATGTCACACATGTGACATGTTTAAGTATTTCTTAACTTTCTATATATACATACATACACTTTTTTAAGCCTGCAATTTGCTTATACTTTTGGACTCTGCCCCTCTAGCCATCTCTTTCTTTGCGTCACATTTTGTCGCTGCAGCTCGTTAGTGAGTGGCAACAAAAACAACGACCCAAATAGAAGTTATTAAAATCAACTTGGTCGCTTTTATTTGGCTGTCAAATGGCCAGGCGAAAGAGGAAGAAGTCAGAAAGTCTGAAAGTCTTGAGGTTTCGCATCGTTGTTGAAGTCTTGAAGCATGCCAAAAAGCTTTCCGTAGCAATAAACGTCATAACAGTGCCACTTGGCTGGCCAACGGGGCGTATGAACGATGTCATAGGGCAGCTGGCACACAAACACACACACACACACTTGCAAACACTCACACACACACATGTCGACAAACAGTTCTGCATATGCAGCGACGTTGACGTAGCGCAAAGTTTAAATCTGATTATCGTATGCCAAGGGGCATACACGCACACAGAGAAAGGGCGAAAGAGGAAGAGGGAGAGGCAGAGGAAGAGGAAGAGGAAGAGAGAGCGGCAGAGAGACTCACACATATGGCCGCACAATATGGCATAACGGAAACGGAAGTGCTGCCATAAAATCATAAACATGCACACACGCACATGGACAGCGACAGTTGCTGCTTCTGCTGCTGCTGCTGCTGCATGAAACATGAACTCTGGGCACCAAAACAGACAGACACAACAGCTACTTTGACTGCAGAGCCAAAGACGTTTACAGCACACTCACACATACAATCACATGCACACAGAAATGTGTGTGTGCATATATCATATAAGTGTTTTCATAGCTGGCAACAGCCGCGACACGCAAAGCTCAACGACTTATTCCGCCTGGGCACAAATCAACACACACACACACACACACACATTGAGTTACACTTTACCATTGCTGCATGCCCCTGCGCCGCTGTTCAACAACACCTAAGCCGCACTGTGCCCATTAATAAGCTCAATATATGTAAGTGGCAGGCAGCTGGAAGCCGGCAGGCAGCCAATAAGCTGCCTCTGCCTCTGCCTCTCTTGCTGCTGCCACTGCCCCTGCTGCTATGCCTGTCTGCCTAGCCACCTCCGCCTACATTAAAATTATTGTTGTCAGCGCACAGAATTTCTAAGCTGCTAACAAAACAAAAACAAAAAAAAAAAAAAAAGTAGTAAAACCCATTAAAAAGGATTTTTGTCAAACTGCACACGAAAATTTGCAACGCAAAATGCAAATGGAAAAGCCAAAGGCATCTCTGGTAGAGCTATTTCCCTCCTTCCCTCGCTCTCCCTCGCTCTCCCTCTCTCTGTCTCTCTCTCTCTCTCTCTCTGGCATGGTGAAATATTTGCTAAAAGTATTTGGTGTCATGCTAAATTGTTGCAGCGTTAAGCGTCACACACAACACTGTGCAACATAAACTGCGAACAAGCAGCCAAGCTGAAAATATTTGCATATTTTCAATTTGATTTACTTTGTGGGTATTTCATAAAGTGAAACATAATACGTTTTTGTCCACCAGCTAAATTACTTGGCAATTTTATTTATGTATACATCTAAAATAGAAACCATGATATCAGACATGCAGAGAGAGTTTTCCAATCTTACCTAAAATTACATTTAAATTTTTTCTACAGAATCTAATGTGAAATACAGTTTTATATTTATTTTGGAAACTATGAAGTTCTTATATTTCATTGAAAATAGAAATTTAGCGCATCATTATTTTGATAAAATTCGTGTAAATGGTAGAGACAGGACCTTTCAAACGAAATTATATATATATTTGATCAAAATGAAGAGCTGAATTCATGTAGTCCACTCTATTTATCTCTCTATCCGCCTATTCATTTGTCCATCCGCTTATCAGTTTGGCCTCTAGCCATCCGTCTAATTATCTGTCTGCTTATCTGCTCATCCGTTTACCTATCTGTCCGTCTGTCCGTCCATCTGACCAGTTCGTCTATCCGTATTTATAAGCACATCAATCTCAGATCTCATAATAACTGGTACCTTGACTTTTTCCTTTAGACCCCCTATAGAGCATACACATATCAAATAATCGATAACTACTCTCGCTTCAAGGTAATCGATTAAAAATAATATTGAGCCTCAAACATTATATTTTATTTCCTACGCTTTTGAAACTCATCCTCTTTATCTCACTTTCACTGCCCATTTCTCTCTCTCTCCCTCTGTTCTTGTATATATTGTTCATTCTCTTTCGAGCTAACCTCTTCATATCCGATTTTTAGTGTTAAAATTAATTTTTCCTAAATATATTTATTTTCCGAAAATTCTAGATATAGTAATTCTTTCATTCTTCCTCTTCTTTTCGCGCAATGCACACACACTTAATTTTAAATTTCCAACCGCTTCGTTTACCTTTTGTTTGAGGATTATATTTATACCGAGCATACTTTTGAGCGTTTTAAACTGTCTACACAATTCATTCAGGTGGCAACCGCTCAACAGCTGTCTTTATGTGGCAACAGCAACAACAACACAAGCGGCAACGGCAGTGGCAGCAGCAGTAAAAAAAATTCAGCCCTAGGCGCAGACGCTTTCAAGTGCCATAGACAGCCAGGCGACCGAGGATGCTGCGGCTGCGACTGAGGTTGTCTCTGAGACTGAGGTCGGCCCTCTTTCAGCTGCTGCTGTTGTTGTTGCCGGCATGCTTCACTTGAAGCTGTCGTAAATGTCACAACTAACAAACGCCCCCACGGAACACACAAAAAAAAAATAAAATAAAAAAGTAAGAAGAGAGAAACAGATGAGATTGCGCCCACCCTTGAGTGGTTTTATGTGTCAAAGTGACAATATGTTGCCGGCGTGCATTATGAAGTTGCCGCCGCCGCTGTTGTTGTTGCTGTTGTTGATGTTGCTGTTGCTGGCATGCAGCTAAACAATATGACAGCTTGTGCGGCAACAGTTGTTGCCAAGTGGTTGCGACAACAACAACACACACACACAACTAAATAGGCAATGCTGTTGCTGCCGATGCTGTTGTTGTTGCAGCACAAGTGCTTGCACTTGTCTAAGATATATTATTAAGTGATTAATTGTTGTTGAGTCTCACTTACCTTTAGCAGATAAATTCAAATATATCAATAAAAATATCCATGAGTGTTTATTTAGTCCGTTGATTAGATGTGTGCCGCTGCAACTGTTGCTACTGCTGTTGTTGCTGCTGCTGTTGCTGCTACTGCTGTTGGCGCTTGTGCTGCTGCTGCTACGTTTGCAATTGCTTAGCAGCTGCAGTAGATAGGAAATAATGGCGGTGGCTGTGCCAGCAAGCATTCGTAGCAATATTGCTGCACGCTGTTGCAGTTGCAGCTGCATTTGCCACAATCTCAACGCCGGCAGCAACAGTTGCAATGCTATGCCAACGCTAATTGGCCACAGGCCATGAAATGAATTGATGATGTTGCTCTCACTGTTGCTGCTTTGATTGCTGTTGCCGTTGCTGTTGCTATTGCTGAGTGTTGTTGCTGCTGTTGCTGGTATTGTTAGTTGTTTTCTTTTTCGCCGCCGACGTAATCTTTGCCGCTTGCGTGCGCACAGTCTTATGTTTGGGTATGTTGCTTGATTGCTGCCGCCATTGGCCGCCGACAACATGTTGCTGTCTAGCTGTTGCTGTTGCTGTTGCTGTTGCTCCTGCAAAGCCCTTGCATTATATATAACTACATGCTGTTTGTTTGTTGTTGCTAATGCTGTGGTGGTGGTGCTGCTGGCGTTGCCGTTGTTGTTGTTGTTGCCGTTGCTGTTACTATGGTGTTTTGTACTTAAGCTCTTTAGTTGCTGTTGAGTAAGTTGGTTGTTGCTGTTGCTGTTGTTGCTGTGTGCTAATCTAAAAGCTAGTTGCTGTTGCTGTTGCTGTTCCTGCTGCTGCTGCAGCTGCAGCCACAGCTCTTCATCATCAACTTCACTCAGCTTCAGTTGCGCATTTTTCATAGTCTCTTCGGTGTTTGCTGTTGACGAGGCGCGTATATTTTACTTTAATCCTCTTTCTCACTCCGTCTCTCTCCTGCTTTATTCCCCTACTCCTTTGGCTCTGTCAGTTTCTTTTCCTTCTTGCTGGCTTACATTGTCTCTAGCTCTGTTTTCTTTTTTCTGTTGTTGCTTAATAACTCTTAATTTTACAAAAAATCTCCCAACTTGTTTTTTTTTTTCTTCTTTCTTTACTTCTCTTTCAATATATGGCGAGTATATGCTTTATTGTTTGCAATATTATTATATTGTTGCTGTGTTGTTGTTTTTCTTCTTTGTCTTCTTCTTCTTTCTTCCAACTTTGCTTTCTTTGTTTGTCTTTACAACCCAAAGAGTCTCTGTGTGTGTTTGGTTATTCTCTTACAGTTAAAGTTTTTCCACTTCAGCTTCGGCTTTTCTTTGCTTTTCTTTTCTTCCTTTTTATTTGCTGTTTTTTGTTTAGTGCATTTTTTTCGTGTTGAAGCGTCTTGTAAATTATTATTTTATATCATATTCTCAAGTGTACGCAGCTGTTGAGTTTGTAAAATTTTCTTTTTTCTCTACTATTTATAGTATATTTTTTAAATATATATCTATATATGTCTTTATATATTGCGCAATTGAATTGTTAGTTGCTGTTCCTGTTGTTGTCGGGTTTCTTGTTGTATTTGCATTTGTATTTGTTGCAATTGCAGTTTTTAGATGGCAGTGCTTTGTAGCTCTTTGCTATTGTTGCTGTTTCTCTTTATTGCTGTGGCAAGACGGGCCTGCAAAGAGATGGAAAAGAAACTAGATTATATAATAAGTACTTAAAAAAAAAATATATATATATATATGTATATGTTTAAAAAAATGTAATTATTTATTTTTATATATTATAAATAGATATGAATATTATTATGTGAATCTATCAAATATATAAATATATATAAAGTAAATTAGTAGTAATGTATCCAAAATACAAAGTTACTTGCAAGCATGTGATAAAGTTATTATGTTATTATGTCAAATTTCCATCAGATACAATGCAAAATACATGCCTCTGGTTAAATATGTATTTGTGTAAACGAAGATATTTCAGGCTTTGAGCTAGAGACCATAAGACTTTAAATCAATTATGTGAACAACTTGAAGCAGCCTTGGATGCTTTTGGCTTGAGTATATACATAGATATGTAGATATATGTAACTCTATATCTATCTATATATATCATTAATATCTTATTTAGGCTAACAATTGCATTGAGCGCATTTGTAAATAGATTTTGGGCACTACATGTGGAGCGCATTGTGTAGAATGTCAAAGCTAAATGAACACATGCAGCGTAGCTTTGTTAAGCTAAACTAATGAAAATCGTTTCAATTGTGGCAGTGGCAGTGGTAACAACTGCGATGAGGAGACATCGAAGGGCGTTGTTGCAAGATTTTCAGTTTCAATTACAGTTCAAAACTAATTAGTTTGGCTAAAACAACAAAGCCAAAACATTTTGCATGCTAATCGCTTGGTTGAAATTTGTGCAGCTGCTGCTTCAGCTTCGGCAAGAGAGACAGAGAGTGATAGAGAGAGAGAGACGGAGAGAGAGAGAAGGAGATACAGGTCGTTGTTTGACATGCCGGTCAGGCCTGGCTAACAGGCCTACTTAATGCTGCATGGCAAGCAGTGTTTTGGTCTGTGGCTCGCATAAATAATGCGTATGCAAAACAATAAATGCACAAGTGCATCCTGGGCGCCTGGCATATCCTGTGTGTGTATGTCTTCTGCAACCAAATGACCAAACATAGCAGCTGCAGCTGCAGTTTGAGCCTCACAACAAATGCAAATGCTAAACTTTCCAAATGGGTTTCGCCAGGAGTTTTTGGGCGTTGGGGCGACGGTGACGTTGACGTTGACGTTGACGTTGATGGACATGTGCGGGACATTTATGACATGTCCTGCTGCGGCAGGACACTTGACAGCCAGCACAAGCAAAGGCCTTGATGCATATTCATAACCAAAAACTTGTTACATTCTGCACAAAACACAACTTTTGCATAAGAATAACCAAAAAACAGAAAGAAACAGGCAAAAGCTGAGCAATTGCAATTTGCCAAGTGGCAGAGCCCAGTGCAGGTTGGCTCGATGAATTTAGTAAAAGGCTTGATCAGTGCTGTGTTTGAGTGGGTTTCTAAGTGCTCGCTTGTTGCCTTATCGTCCAACTGTCAATTGCTTTTGAATAGCGCAAATACATATTTTTAGTCAAATGCAAAGGGGTGAGCAAGGGGGAGAAGGCAAGATTGATAGATATATGCAAACACTTCAAATGTAACAAGTAAGAAGACTCTAGTCGAGACTGCTCGACTAGGAGATACCCTGAACCCTCTAAGCTGATATTCTAATCATTCTGCACTTCTTTTATGCACACATACATACACATGCATCCACACGCACGCATAAGCCTGCGCTCTGCTAACTGCGCAGTAAGCAGCGACTGCGCTTGGGCTGCGCTGCAGTGTGGGCAATATTATGAGAATTTATTTGTTGAATAATCTTTTGTAGACATACGATCTTAATGCAACTTTTAGAGCGTAATCATATGGTGAATATGTGTGTACATTCCAAAGCACAAGTCTCTAGTACTTGAAATGTGTTTTTTACAAATTGGGGGAGAAGGGGGCGTGGTATCCAAAATCTGTAAATTACAAAATCTTTGTATCGATTAACTTTATATACAACGCAAATTTAAAGACTCTAGGTCTGAAAGTGTTCAAATTAGGCTAAAAAAACAAAATCAATTTTTCGATTATTCTCGATAAAAAAGTTATCGGATGATTTATCGAAAAAATAAAGCAAACTCGTACTGCGTATGGTATACACGAGTATGCATGCCAAATTTCAGCTTTCTAGCTCTTATAACTTCTGAGATCGACGCACTCATACGGACGGACGGACGGACGGACGGACGGACGGACGGACGGACAGACGGACAGGGCTATATCGACTCAGCTCATCGCGCTGATCAAGAATATATATACTTTATGGGGTCTGCCACGCCTCCTTCTGCCCGTTACATACTTTTTCACAAAACCATTATACCCTGATTTCCCATTTTCAATGGGTTCAGGGTATAAAAAGGCCAGACTTGACTACATATAAAGTGAAATATATTGCTGCACATGTTTATCAAATTAACATAGTTATGCGATAATCTAAATGAAAATTTAATTCTTGTGTATTATGGATATGATCAAATGTACATATATGAGACAGTAAACTAAGTAGTTTTCAACTATAACAGTAAAAATGGATTCAACTCTTATATCAGCATACTAGAGAAGCCCAGAAAAACGTGGAAAAGTTAGATAAATTCCGGAGGAATTTCCTTCATTTGCCTATCAATGCACTAAGTCTGTTTAATTTCTTGAATTTTTATTATCACCGCTCTTACGTTTTTAAACTGAACTTAGCAAATTTAGTATACAGATGCTCCCAAGGGTTACACAAGTGATGTATGTATGTAACGTACTTTTATATATATTGTCCATAAATACATAAATAGCGATAGGCAACTATCAAATTTAAAACTAATAACAGAAACTTTTTCATTATTTTATATGAAAAATTTCTCGAAATTCATCTAGGGAATCTTCTGGTCTCTTTATAATAACTTTGACATTAGATATTGCGTATACTAGAAGAAATCATCTCAAACAAACATACTGTTAATCAAATTGTAATATCTTAAATACCGAATGAAAGAGAGGCAGAGACAGAAAGACAGAGAGAACAGGATAGAGAGACTCCTAAGATAGCCAGAGCAAGCTATCAAGAGAAAGCTGTCAGCTGCAGGTCAAATTGAAAGAAAATGAAAATAGTTTTTGCAGCAGGAGAGCAGAGCACAGTTCCTGCTCCTCCAGCAGTTGAACAATATTTTGCATCTTCCAGCTGACAGTGTAATTTGATAAATGCTTCAGCTCAACTAGTTTGAAGAGCTGAAAACAAAAACCTCAGAGATGCTGAGAGAGACGTAGGTAGAAAGGGTGATATTGTCATGCAATCCGATTGGCTGTCAAAAAGTTGTATGCAAATGCATTTTGTATGCAAATCATTTTCATGGCTAATAAACGAGTGCTTTCAATTTTAGTTTTGAATAATTTGCCCAGATAACAATCTAGTATATCGTTAAAAATTTTGTGCAAAATATTGCATATTCATGAAATTGAAACAGACAATTCTCTGTGAGGGCTAGATAGAACAATTTGTTGTCAAATTAGCTGCTCTATTTCTCACACTTTATCAGCGCACTTAACTTGCGTTCACTAAATTCTTGTCACATGCAAAAAACAACTTGAAAAGCCGCTAGACAAATGGCTGTGTATAAAACCATTCGTAGTAAGCACAGTTTGTCATTGGGGGTTTCAACTTTTTTCAGTGTTTCTCTTCTTTTTTTTTTTTTTTTTAGCTACAAATGAATGCTTGCCCCGAAATCCACTTGTACAAATATTAATTTTCCGCCACTGTCGCCAGCGCTCGAACAGCAGCCGCAGCGCAAGCCCAAAACATGGCTAAGAACATTTTGCACATAATTCTTTCCAGCCACAAAATAATACAAATAAAAATCCAACTTAAGAGGCAAAAAATAAAAATGGGAGAGAGGCAGCAAAAAAAACTTTTGCTGCACACAAAACGAATTCATAATTCATTGAGCGAGACGCAGGAAGTAACGAAAGGAACAGATAGGGCACAGAGAAATGGGCCTCAGGGCCTGGGACCTCAACTAAGAGTTCTGCCACTGTCTGCCATATCATTTACGCCATGCAGCCCAAAGTGTGTGAGTGTATAAGTGTGGGCATATGTATACCCTGTAAAAAATAATTGGCAGGCATATGAGAGACTTGGGCTTTTAAATATATACTATATGTCGAAAGAACTAGGCGAAATATTGAGAAGAATAAGGGAAAATAAATTATACTTAACCCAAGCAGATCAGTATGCCGAAAAACACTACCAAGTATCTATAATATTTTTTATTTAAAAAATTAGATAATCAAATAATTCGCGAAATTAATCTAGGGTAACATTTCTCTCTACAATTTTATAATTCTATTTTCAGTTTCATTTCTGTTTTTCTTCTGTTTCAACGATGAAAATTAATTTGCTCACGCGCCAGTCGAGAGTCGCCTAGCAGTCGTTGTCGCTCAAAAAATTGGTTTCATCTGCAATGCGACGCGGTTCGCTTAGCCGCAGTGTCCACATTTCAACTGCCTCCCGCCCAGCCTCCTACGGAAATATTCGAAAATGGCGTCCATTTTATGCACACACAACTCGTGCGGCGGCTAGCGCATAAATTTCATAAAATTTCATGAAATTCCATACATCAATATAACGATTCGAATTGGGGCCACCGAATATCTTTATATATGGACATAAAGAGACTGGCGGCGTGCACTTCAGCTGATTAGGCAAACAAGTGAACGAAGTGACTGAGCGAGTGAGTTAGAATGTGATGGGTAAAAGAGCAAAAGAGACAGAGGCGAACGCATCAGTCCGCACAAAAATGCAATCAAATTATTTACAGCTGCATTGCAACACGCAGCGTATGCGCAATATTTTTTATTCTACTTGGCTAACAGCCAAAACGAAATAGCTATGAAAAGCGACACCCAGTTATAGCCTTTTGTGCCCGTGCACAGGTGCAAAATTAAATATCTAAATATATATATTTTTCGTCTGGCCGCCATTTGATGGTTCAAATGGTCTGCCTGTCCACGCCAACAATTTCACCTGACCC